AGGAAAGGTTGAGTAACCTGCCCCAAGCTCCAAGGCTATTTGAAATGGTAAACTCTAGACCAGAAACTGGGCCTACTGCTATGTCATTCTGCTCCTTTAATACTGTAAGCAAGTTTATTCTATCCCAGAAACACATTTCCAGTAAGCAAAAATTACATTTGTTGGATAGGGGATACAGGAAATTATAAAACAGCTGTTTCACTCAACAAGTAGCTTTAAAATATGGTAAGATACAATAACATTTTTATTAATGGTAAGCCTATGATAGTTAAAGATGGAGAATAGAGTCTTGTCAGCAGAAACCATCAAAAATAACCCAAAATGTGATAAATCTATAAATCCTCCACTCAAAATCCAGTTTATAAAATTCTGAGTTTTTTTCAAGACCCAAAATACTTTGCCTATTTCTGTTGTTTTGAATAAGTCAGTGGTTTGGATAATCTATTAAAGATCACAGAAGTTTTTTTCTAACAATTCATCCCCAAGATTTTATTAAATACCTGCAACATGCCAACCACTACAATGGGACTGTAAGGATCCAGAGAATTCTGAAGCATATTTTGTTGTTGTTGTTAGTTTCCACTCAGTTTGCCTTCGATTCAAAATGGCTCAATGTGTTAAAAAGTAGAACTGCTCCACAGTGTTTTCTTGGCTATAATTTATAGAAGCAGTTCACAAGGCCTTTCTTCTGCACGTGCCTTCAGTGGATTCAAACTGCCAACCTTTAGGTTAGCAGTTCTACTGTTGGAACATGGAGTCCCTATGAGTCAAAATAGCCACTGTCATGGCAGCTAAGAACAACTTACCAGTAAGCAACATTTGAGCACTAAAAAGTGCTCAAATGGACACACCAGCTCTTTTTATTTCTTACTGTTTTGCCTGTTTGAATCCTTTGTTCATGTCTTTTTTGGGGTGTTTTGTCTTTCTTATGGATTTATACAAGTCCTTTATTTAGAAAAGATCTTAATCCCCTGCCATATGTTACAAAGCGTGAATTTATCTACTGAAATGTTCAAAGAGAAACAAAGGCCACATTTAAGCATCACATCACTTGATGAGTATTATGTGTATTACTGGGAGCTCTGGTGG